ATTAGTTTTTTTTAATTATCCTAAATAATTTATAGTTAAATATATAAACAATAATGTTTCTAAGGTTGAAATAATCTAAAAGTCTTTTTAATAAAAAACTTTATGTATACATTTTGTACTTGTCCACTAGACACAAATGCCTATCTCGCCAGTTACAATAAAAAAATTTTTTTAATTGTTTCTACGTAGATAATCAGTCTAATTCTTCATAATATTGAATGTTTGGAGGATAAATTTTGTATTAAGAGGGAAATATTTTTTAAAAGTTTAGTGGTTGAACTGAAATTCGACTTTAAGTATACCGCAGTATATCAAAATTATTTGTTACAGTTTAATAAATGATTTCTTTATATGAACGAAGCATTATTACATAGAAATAAATATTTAGTTCCACCAAATAATATTTATATCTTTTCTCAGTGGAGTTTAGTTTACATTTTTTAATTTGTTTATTATTGATATGTTAAAAAGTAAATTTTAAATTTTATAAATGTCTCAAACAAAAAAATATAATTTAATGAAATTCTTTTTTTTATAATACCTTATATTTTTAATTAAAATAATTTACTTTAAATATTTTTATTTATTTTAAGTTAAAAAGTTAGGTTACACGCTAAAATTAGTTAAAAAATTAATTTCTTTGATACCAATAAATGATTTATTGAGTAGCAATAAATCATTTGTTAAATACTACTAAATATTTATTTGATGGAACTAAATGGATTTTAATAAATGATTTAGTACCTTTTACTAAATATTTGATAATAAAAAGTTTGTTACTAAATCTTATTAAATAGAACTAAATTTTTCTATCAGTGTAGTCACATAAGAAAGTATCAGTCACATGATTATGGCTTATAATTGATGGAATTTTAGAGTCAAATGTCCCACCAGTCACTATGAAATGCCCAAAAATTTTTTATGATTTAATAAAAATTTTTTTCTTGTACAAAGCGTAAAATTAATAATAAGTTAAAAAAGTTAAAAAATAAGTAAATCCTTGAATAAACGCATTTAAATTATCGTCTGTTAGTCATTGATGTAAAGAAAAAGAGGATGAGAGGTTTTACGTCCCCTAAGTTAGCAGAACTAAACCCGGAGACAGGCTCATTAAATTCCGAGTGGCGAAAGATTCTCTCAGCGAACGATTTTCCGGCAAATTGCCCATTTTGCCTTTACTTCTACTCGCGACAAAGTAGTGTCTCTTACTGTTCTCTTGCTGGAAAGAAAGAATAAGAAAATAATTCGAGAGCGACGGTACGTCTGAAATAAGAAAAGTTAAGTTAATTTTGCTCATCTTTTAACTCGGAGAAAAATATCCATGTATATATATTTTATTTAATTAATGGGAAAATTCAATCTTCTGTTTTTCCAGAAACAAAAGCGTCGAGTCGTCTGATTGTTGTTACTTCCATTTTTTCCGGTCCCCTATATTCTCGAGTAGTATATATAGTCTAAGAGTTTTTACAGTATTTGTAAGGAAAGTGCACTTGTCTATTTTTCATTCACAACACAAAAGTGGTCTCGCGATACTACCCTATACTAGCCGAGGAGGTGAGGGCGAGGGTACGGTGATAAAAGATACCGTCTACGGGTTGTTCTATTGTTCCATTGTTGCAATACGCGGTTGTGTCGTTCCCAAGTGGAATGCATCGGTACTGTTCTATCGTTTACGTTTTATCGGATAAACTTGTAGTCGCAAAGAATATACTGAGTGCTGAGTTAAGAGATTCGAAAACACTCTACGTCTATCCAAACACTCTACTGACCACGGTCCCTCTGTTTCTTAAAATTATTTTCCTCTGGTGCAATACGCAAGATAGATTTCAAATTAAGCGACTTTATCGGTACTAAAAAAAACTCACCTCAGAATTGTACGATCAATCTCACTGATTAAACGGCTTTTTTTGGAAGGGGAATTGATGTAAGTAAATAAATAATAAAGTAGAAACAATACCGCGTTGTCATTTGAATAAATAGATTTTGAATTGAAATAAATAAAAACCTGGATTAAAATAGATTGAAGGGTCGATCCTGATGGTGGGACTTGATTAAATTATTTGAATAAAGAGGAAATAGACGAGAGGCTAGGGGTCGAATTTATTTAGGAGCTTTTATGGGGAAAATTTGAATACAAGTGTAGTCGGGGTTTTAATGAAAATTATTTTTTTTTATTTATGGTTTGTAATAATTAAATAGTAAAAAAAATATTTTAATTTAAATCATAAAATTTTTATGAATAGAATTTATAATAATAAGTTAATTAATTTGAGTTATAAAAATAATTTGAAGAAATTTTTTTAATTAAATATTTTTTTTTTATTAAATAAAAAAATAAATTAAATTAAAAATTAAGCAAAAAATTTTTTTAATTAAATAAAATTTAATCTAGAAAAAATTTATTGACTCAAAAATTATTTTTATTTGAGGGAAAAAAAATTTAGTTTGTTAATTTTTTTTTGGGGTAAATTTTTCAATTAATTAATATATTGTTTTATTTATTCTAGAACTAAATTCAACATCACCCTCGACAGCTGATTTAGCAGACTCATTCGACGACAACAATGACAGCGATGAGGAATCAGAAATAACAATCGACGGTAAAGAAAACATATACTACATGCCTGGGTCATTATTTACAATACGGCTGGACTCACTGCGAGAAAAATTAAATCTTACAAACATAAAAAGCCCCCAGGATTTGTCTAATGAAATTCCGAATGATCCCATCAGTTTTCCGACGTCAGAGGTAATTAATTTCCTTTGTTTATACTTTTTATTATTTTCTCCAATAACTTTTGAGAAATAGAAGTAAATTAAATGCCGTTCAATTTTTCCATCAAATCCCCGTTAAAATTAAACGTCAAAGGAAATTAGGTGAAAATTCAGTGCAATATAAAAGTTGTGAAGGAAGAAAATAAAATATTTCTAGACGGGGAAAAAAAAAAAAATAAAAAATTTTCTTTTAATCCAGAACGTCGTTACGTTTCAGAGCCCAAACTTGGAGCAGAAACTTCCGGTAACAACGGAAAGCGTCGTGACAACGGAGCCTGCTTGTTCGCTGGACTGCGGAGCTGCGGGAAATTGTTACATCGAGCAATTTCGCAGCGACGAGGAAAACGGAGATGTTACTCGTATTGACGACACAAGACCAAGGCGGAGCTCTTACAAACAACGTTGTCAGTGTCCACTCGGCAGAACTGGCGATCGATGTCAAAATGGTTTGTTAATATTTCATTTTTAGTCAATCTTGCCTCTTAGTTTATTCAATATTTTTACATTTCATAAGAAAAATATTGTTATTATTATAAAAAAATTTTATTGAAAAATTTCACATCTAAAAATTAAAAAAAATTACAAATGCAAATTTTTTTTGAAGATTTTTTAATAAAAACCATAAAATTGACATTTTTATTTTTTTTTTAGTTTTGAAAATAACTTTATTTATCATTAGGTTTGTTACATAACAAGGTTACATATTTTGATATTTTGAAGTTTTTATAAATTTTACCTATCTTACGACTTAACAAATTATTTATATATCCATCATTGTTTTAATCAGATCTAAGAGAATTTATAATTAAAATAATCAGGTTGATCAGACCACTAACGAAATGTTGACAATTATTTCAAACTTTATTGCAACGTTTCGTCGGACATCCCGACTTCTTCAGGCAATCTAAAATATATACATCAAATAAATAAATTATTTCAATAAACCATGTCAAAATACAAATTGTCAAATAAATCTTAAATTCATCATTACAATACATATCGATGTCCTAATTAGCAATTGGTCTGACTCCATTTTAGAGAATATCTTCCATTTGTACCAAAATACAATTAGTTCGAAGTTTATTATCACTTAAATAATATATAAAAAATCATTAAATATTTCATAGAGGTATAATATTTTGGTTAGGATCATTCAAATAATTTATAATTGGACTATTGCTACATCAAAATGTTAAAAAATTACCCTCTAAAAAATAAGGAGTTAGACCAATTGCTAATTAGACCATCGATATAAAATAATACAATATTCTTTACATATCTTATGTTTTTTTCTTATACTGATAGAAGAATTTCTTAGCATTTAAGATTTCTTTGTATTTAAGAAATCATTTCTTAAACATCATTTCTTAGCATTTAAAAAATATTTCCTAAATACTAAGAAATATTTTTTAAATACTAAGAAATGATTTCTTAAATACAAAGAAATCTTTTTTAATACTAAGAAATCATTCTATCAGTGTACATAGAGTTTCTAATTTATTTTCGTAGTAAAAATTAACAAAAAATCCACTAGACAAATTTAACTTACATACTATCTTAAACCTAGACAATAATTTACTTAACTTCAGTATATTTACATTATATACATGGTTATTGCTTATTTATTAATTAAATGCAAGTAAGACTTATTTAATTAGGAGTTCGTTTGAAAGTTTGTGTTTTATTGTATTTTTATTTTTATTTCACTTCGGTGTTAAATACTTGAGCCTTACCTTTCTAAGTACGAGTTAGTGTAGCGCTTATGCGACACCTAGCGGAAATTTGATGCAATTAAAAATTGAAAAACACTTTATTATTATTATTATTATTATTATTATTATTATTATTATTATTTTTTTTTATTTTTTTTTTTCTTAAAAATAAAAAGAGAAAAGTATCTAGTTCTAGCTGCCAATACAAATGTCCATAATTTCTTGAGATGTTGATATTCCAAGGACGTGTTATGCAGGATAGATGAGACACGTGTGTTGTTTAACATTACAGTGACACGTAATACTCGTAAAGGGCGTGTAGTGCGTGCGAATGTAGAGTGAAAAAGTCGATTTTTATGTTCTAACTCTACAGTTTTCCTTATTTTATTTTTTTTTTTCCGCTTTTATTATATTTCCACGGAACCCTCCACTAGTATGGAGTTATAAGTCTTCCAAAAGAGCTAGCTCTCTGGTCGTGTTTATAGGTGACCCTGCGGTATTTTCCCACTGGTGATGTAATGTTATGTGAGAGCTCGAGTAGTAGACTTCAACCGAGAATAGTACGTCTACTGTTTAGTTGTGTGTATAGTAGTTCTATGAAGATATTTAATGGCTTAAGAGGGTTCACGGATGGATTGCTTCATAAACTTATAACACAAAAAAATTTTTTCTGATAAAATAAAATAAAATAAAATAATTAAATCAACAATTTGGAAAAAAATAATACAAATTTAATAATTAATTATATTTTCTATTGAATCTATTTATTATAAAACATAATTATAATTATAATTATTGACAGCAGCCTCAAAATTAATTAATTAAACTGTCGAGATATTTATGGTTTTAATTTATTTGAACAATGCGTACCTCCTAATCCCAAAAGTTCGTGTGAGCTTTTATCACTTGACCACGTGAAGCTTCACACTTCGAACGAGAAACTTGTATACTTGTTAGGCACGTGCGTGCCCCGAGGCAAACTTATGTCGTTATGAAACTAACTGAGAAAAATAGCCAACGAAAATTGGAAAAAAATACGACAAGACAAACTTGGAATTCCTAAAATTAAAACTTAAATTTATCCGAACAAAATTTTCCGTTAGATCCTCGGAATATAAATTAAATTATCGGACTACACAATAATGATTAGAAAAAAAAAATTGGAATGGACTTAACCGGTAAATCCGACAAGCAAATGATGAGAAGAGTGGACAAAAACGAAAAGACTGGCGTATCAGTAACGTGAATCGTTTTCCAATAATTTGACATCTCTTCTTTTATATTTTTTATTTTTAATGTTTCCTTGTAGTGTCTCTCAAATCGATTTGATCCTCTCATTAAGTTCTTATAGATTTTCTAGTGGGAAAATGAAAAGATCCTCGTTATCTATTCCTTTCTTTGAATTTTTTTACTCCACTCGATGCTCGGTACTCCATTTTATTTCACTTTTTTAATACCCAATCGGATTTATTTGGCTTCTATAAATTCTCTACCAGTTTATTTTATTTTTAGTTTTTCCAATCGAGAACTGCGAAATCGTTAGTTTTTTTTTACCGATTTTTATTTGATAATAATTATCGGGGTATTTAAATTATTATTGGACGTATTAATTTATTTTAATTAATTTGTTGCCTTCGAGCATTCACTCGGATAATTAGTGATAATATTAATTGTTGTAATTTATATAATTTCATACGAATGAGATGTAATTTTCAACGCTTAATGTATTTGGTTCATTATCTCGCCACGGATAATATAAAAAAAAATAATAAATAATTATACTTATATATACGAACACACGTTTATTTTATGTAATATTTTTATACTTTGCCTTGAGTGACGTAAGCCGTAAAATAAATAGCGAAGCATCTTTTCTTACATTTTTTATTCTGTATGACCTGTAACAAATAACAATTTGCCTTTACTTATATCATGAGCACTGAAGACTGAGGCAGCCAACACAAGGGTCCGTGTTCAATCCCAGTAAAGCGATATCCGCGCTACTATGCGCCGGATACTTAGCTGGCGAAGGGTTCAACAGTGTCATATTTCGCAATAGTTTCAAAAGGGTCGTTCTTCTTTGCTCGTTGCTCCTTTGTACATCCTTACCTGCGCCCTTCTTCGGGTATTAACTCGGATAATTGTTATAACGTAATTCAAAACAAGGTTGTAAAACTTTAATTGTCTTACTCTCGTTAAATAATACTTATTTTCATGTCTCTAATGGAACTATTAATCCTTGTAAAGTTCCTCTAGATTTTACATTTAATTATTTTATTCTTAGTTTAATTCTCCAATAAAATTTATTGTTTAAAAAAAATTTTGCCTGTTTAAAAAGTAAAAAAAAAATTATTTTGCTAATGCAAATTTTTGCATTACGTTGTGATTGTTTTAATTATGTTTTAAAATTTTTAGAAGCATTGACTAAAAATAAGTACGAATTTATTGATAGATACGAGACAGTTGTTTGATAATTGTTAATATAACCCATAAATTAATTTATAAATAATTAGTTTGTAGTAAAAATAACTTAAATGACTTGTTATAAGATATAATTAGATACGAGTTTCAATGGGACTTTTGAAGAGAAATCGATTAAAATTAATTATTTATATCCTCAGGTTCAATTCCAACGGACACTCGAATTTTAGTATAAATTAATAATAATAATAATAGTTTCTTTATTTAGCTTCAAGCTACAATATATACATAAAAATTATATAAAAGATCTTAGATCTTTTATTACAGATCAACACTTGCTTCCCGTCTACATTTTAAATTTTTCCTTCTCTTATTTCTTCTCTTAACAATTTTTTAAAAATATTCCAAATACTCTTTAGGTAATTTATTAATTGATATACTATTTCAGTTCACTTTTCAAACCAGTGCTTTGTTTGAAATTTCTAAATGTTCTCGGTAAAAAATAATACATGCTTGTACAAGTTTAAATTGTGCTTCACAAAGGAACAATTCGACCAAAATAGAGTGATTTGTCGTTAAATTAGATACTCGTGATATAAGTTACTGACATGACCTTATAAAAAGATTTTACATATCCATAAATCGCCTGACATGAAAATTTGCCATATTAGAACGTATTTTACTCGTTATGTCTTAATGTATGTCCATATCAGGTCTATTATGGTCATATATTTCCACGTATAATTTTTTTTATCCTAGTTTCGAAATTTTCCGACAGATGGCGTATTGTCGCTAAATTCTCTCCCTACTAGAGAGTTAAGTTTGACAATATAAGTATGAAAATAAAAAATTTTTTTTTACTCTTTTAAAAAGCTTATCTTAAATTAATTGTCAGTTTAATTAATTGGCAAACTAATTTTTGATTAAAAGAAAATAATACTTAATATTCACATTTTAAAAAAAATAAAAAAAAAATTTTTTTGCAGTTATTAAATTTTCTAACTTTAAAATTTTTTTCTTACATTAATGTTAATATTACAAAAAATTGTTTATAATTTTTATTAAATTGCACTGCGGTGAAAAAATGAACTACACAAATAATATTTAATATTAACTATCAATAATGTAGAAATTTATTTTACAATGATTTAATAATTTTTTTTTATAAAAATATACTAAATTCTTAAAAATTGATAAATAATTTTGTACGTAAATTTTATTAAACCATTAAAATCTCCGAATTTCTCTTCTGCGTGTCCATTGAATGAAAACTAGTTTTAGCAAGAGCAGAAAATGTTTTTGCAATAATTAT